GGGAAAAAAAAGCTCTCCCTTTGGAAACCCCTTCCCCCTCCCCCTCGCCCGTGGTCAACCAAGAGCCATTTCAGACACTCAGGTAATAGGACAGGGTCATCATTAGTATGGATTCCACCTGTTGAGTATCTTTCACCTAACCTGATACAAGAGAGAGAGTTGCTGGAAAAAGTGAAGAAGAGCATATATTTGGCTACAGCTCTGCTCTATTTGACTATCTTTCCTTCTGCTACGCAACCAAAGTTGGGTCTATCTTCTACCATTTGCCTTTCTTAAGACAAGAAGGTGAAGATTGATGTTTAGAACTTGGATGGGATTTTGAGTCACTACAACCCTTAGGCACTTTCCTTGACTTTTGGATTTTAATCCTTATTCAGGGAAGGATAAGTGAGGTCTGGTCATACTGAGATTCAGGGTGTGTCTATACTGCACCGTTATTTCAGAAAAACTAGCATTATTCTGAAATAACAATGTGAGGTCTACACAGCAATTCTGTTATTTCAAAATATCGAAATAACGGGCAGCGTATTCTGACTTCTGTAAACCTCATTCCACGAGGAATAATTCCTCTTCTGAAATAGCTATTCCAAAATAGCTGCAGTGTGGATGCTCCACTGCTGCTATTTTGAAATATCTCCTCACCAGGGCTATTCTAAGTAATTTCTCCCCAGTGCTTCCTGGGGCACTTTAGGGGAGCCTGCCTCAGACTAATTTTGAGGCTTTCCTCTGGTGTGGATGCTCTATTCAAAATAAGCTATTTCGGAATAACTATTCCAGACTAGCTTGTTTCAAAATAAGTGTGCAGTATAGATATACCCTCAGGTGAGAGTAGCTTATCTTTACCCTGTTTCTCTTGTGGCTGAGTAGGGGAGGCTGGATTGCCTTTGCTTCCTGGTTTGATCATCATTTTTTCTCACTAGATAGGAGGGGATTCTGAGTAAGGCAAGTGAGTCACTTTTACTAAGGCTTTGTCTGCACTAGGGCATTAAAAACAGATCAAATAAAAACCATTGTTACTATTTGTACAACTGAATTGGTGTTAGTGCTGATGGTAGCCCCATGGTAGGTAGTAATGCAGTGCAAGTCTTTGGCTGCACCTGGTTTTGCCGTTGACTATTAGAATTGTTTTTCAACAGATTTAACTAACATAGTAGTAGTCAGAGTGTAATCTGCAAACTATGTAGTTTAGACACTGCCTCTAAGATCCCTCTTGGATTAGATGCTCAGTTATGGTTAGCCTTTTCTTGGATAGACTTAATAGTGTCCTGATGAAAAGATTAATCTTTTATGCTGGATTTTGCTGAGTTTTCCATGCTGTGTAATTGAGGATTATAGGGATGCTAGATATCATGTAATTGAATAGTTATGGAACCTCATGAATTCTTAGCAATAAGGCAACTATTTGATAATCTCTGGAGGCGGAGCCAGCAGCCAGTGTGCTCCGGCCCCACTCCTCAGGAGCTCCCTACATCAGAGGCAGCAGTGTGGGGTGGAAGGCCGGAGCCGGTCTGCAAGGAGAGCCAGCTTAAAAACCAGTTCTCGGAAAAGACCAGATGCCTGACACCCCATGCTGCTGCCCCAATACAGAAGCAGAGCATCTTCTGTCCACAGGAAGCTCGGACTGTAGGGCTGGTGCTACACTTCAAAGGCAAAAACGCTGTGGGGAGCATGGGGCCAGTGGGGGACTCAAGCTGACTCCCACTGGCCCCGTGCTCCCCACAGTGTTTCAAAGTGGCAGTGCCGCATGGAGCCCGGGGTCAGTGGGAGTCAGCTTGAGTCCCCCACTGGCCCCATGCTCCCCACAGCGTTTTTGCCTTTGAAGTGTAGCACCAGCCCTACAGTCCGAGCTTCCTGTGGACAGAAGATGCTCTGCTTCTGTATTGGGGCAGCAGCATGGGGTGTCAGGCATCTGGTCTTTTCCGAGAACTGGTTTTTAAGCTGGCTCTCCTTGCAGACCGGCTCCGGCCTTCCACCCCACACTGCTGCCTCTGATGTAGGGAGCTCCTGAGGAGTGGGGCCGGAGCACACTGGCTGCTGGCTCCGCCTCCAGAGATTATCAAATAGTTGCCTTATTGCTAAGAATTCATGAGGTTCCATAACTATTCAATTACATGATATCTAGCATCCCTATAATCCTCAATTACACAGCATGGAAAACTCAGCAAAATCCAGCATAAAAGATTAATCTTTTCATCAGGACACTATTAAGTCTATCCAAGAAAAGGCTAACCATAACTGAGCATCTAATCCAAGAGGGATCTTAGAGGCAGTGTCTAAACTACATAGTTTGCAGATTACACTCTGACTACTACTATGTTAGTTAAATCTGTTGAAAAACAATTCTAATAGTCAACGGCAAAACCAGGTGCAGCCAAAGACTTGCACTGCATTACTACCTACCATGGGGCTACCATCAGCACTAACACCAATTCAGTTGTACAAATAGTAACAATGGTTTTTATTTGATCTGTTTTTAATGCCCTAGTGCAGACAAAGCCTTAGTAAAAGTGACTCACTTGCCTTACTCAGAATCCCCTCCTATCTAGTGAGAAAAAATGATGATCAAACCAGGAAGCAAAGGCAATCCAGCCTCCCCTACTCAGCCACAAGAGAAACAGGGTAAAGATAAGCTACTCTCACCTGAGGGTATATCTATACTGCACACTTATTTTGAAACAAGCTAGTCTGGAATAGTTATTCCGAAATAGCTTATTTTGAATAGAGCATCCACACCAGAGGAAAGCCTCAAAATTAGTCTGAGGCAGGCTCCCCTAAAGTGCCCCAGGAAGCACTGGGGAGAAATTACTTAGAATAGCCCTGGTGAGGAGATATTTCAAAATAGCAGCAGTGGAGCATCCACACTGCAGCTATTTTGGAATAGCTATTTCAGAAGAGGAATTATTCCTCGTGGAATGAGGTTTACAGAAGTCAGAATACGCTGCCCGTTATTTCGATATTTTGAAATAACAGAATTGCTGTGTAGACCTCACATTGTTATTTCAGAATAATGCTAGTTTTTCTGAAATAACGGTGCAGTATAGACACACCCTGAATCTCAGTATGACCAGACCTCACTTATCCTTCCCTGAATAAGGATTAAAATCCAAAAGTCAAGGAAAGTGCCTAAGGGTTGTAGTGACTCAAAATCCCATCCAAGTTCTAAACATCAATCTTCACCTTCTTGTCTTAAGAAAGGCAAATGGTAGAAGATAGACCCAACTTTGGTTGCGTAGCAGAAGGAAAGATAGTCAAATAGAGCAGAGCTGTAGCCAAATATATGCTCTTCTTCACTTTTTCCAGCAACTCTCTCTCTTGTATCAGGTTAGGTGAAAGATACTCAACAGGTGGAATCCATACTAATGATGACCCTGTCCTATTACCTGAGTGTCTGAAATGGCTCTTGGTTGACCACGGGCGAGGGGGAGGGGGAAGGGGTTTCCAAAGGGAGAGCTTTTTTTTCCCCCCCAGTGGAGAAGAGCATGAGATGTCGAGAGTCAAGAGATCTCTACATACCAGCACACTGTCCAGGCTTACTAACACTGTCAAAGTCTCTCAGAACACTTATCATAGTGTATAATATAATTTATTTGTCTCTTATTGTTTGGGGAGAAGCCTGGCACAGCATGGTTTTGACTATGGCACATGACTTCAAAGTACTGAATTGTTTGAGTTAGGGCAAACTTTTATTTTTTTTCCAAGAGATCTCTACATACCAGCACACTGTCCAGGCTTACTAACACTGTCAAAGTCTCTCAGAACACTTATCATAGTGTATAATATAATTTATTTGTCTCTTATTGTTTGGGGAGAAGCCTGGCACAGCATGGTTTTGACTATGGCACATGACTTCAAAGTACTGAATTGTTTGAGTTAGGGCAAACTTTTATTTTTTTTCTTATTTTTTAACAGAGTTCACAACAGATCCACAGACTTGGAAGAAGTGAGCTAAACTGGTGTTCTCTTGCTCCTCCCATTTCAAAAGTGTGCTCTCCTTATATTCTGACTAGAAACAGACAGAGGTGAATCCCCTTCTCTGAGTGCTGCCACTAAAACGACACTTCTACAACTGCTCTCACAGAGGCGATGAGGCCAATTTTACTGAAAAGTGGGGGAACTAAAGTCAGTGCAATGAATAACCCTGCCTGTTTGCAAATAAAGAATCATAAAAAAGTCTACCTTTCCAATTTCACTGCTATAAGGACCCAAACCAGAATTCATAACAGAGGAGGTAAAATTTGGTATCTGGTAATTTTTCTTTTCCAAGTACCCAGGCTTGCTCTTCTACCCATATTATGATTGAAAGTCCAAAGTTTCTTTACATGAACATTAAGACAGAAGTCTGCCATGCTCTAAAGATTGAGGGAAAGCCAGGATAAGTGGCTTATTACAGTTTCTATGAATTGTCTAAGGATTTTTAAAACTCTTTTCAGCTCCTGATGCATTACCACTGGGAAGACCAACAAAACCCACCACACTGACAAGAGATCTCCTGAAACTGCAAAGCAGATAAAACTCTCTGTAGGACTAGTGAGCCTGGATACTCAGAAGAGAAATCCTCAGGTAGCAAATTTTACTTCCTACCACTAAGGAAGAGCTGCAGTTACCCCATAGGTATGATTTATTCAATTCCAGTTGCTGACAATCATTTGGGTATATTCCATTTTTTTTCAAGTGGCTTCTCAGACATGTTCAAGGCACTATCCTATTTCATGTGAATAGTATTCTACTTTGGAAGTCCATACTAGGCTACATTTGAAGGAAATATTCCTGCAAATAAGATGAAAGCGATGGTGGTGAAGAGGAGAGAGAAATTATGCCTAACTTCTCTTGAAACATTAAGCCACTCCTAGAGAGAGATCTCAACCTCACTCACTAGTATTCAGTATTTTAAAACAAAGGCCTTTGCACAGTGGTGCTGAAGAAGGACCAGTAAAGAAAGGAAGCAGCGGGTATGTGAGCTCTCATGAGAATGACATATTGCATTAATTTGATTGGTTTACCTGTTTCCACTGAGGCATGGGAGCAAGGCGGCCCTGCTCTCGCTGTCTGCAGGATAGTTGGTTGTGAACACGCTCCTGATAAGGCAGGACAGGCTGTTACATGCAGGTCATAGGGAAAGCAGGATGGGTCCCAGAGAGGAACAAAATAAAACAGCAAAAGGCACTCAAAGAAACCAACAAAAGGAAAGGGAGGACATTAGACAGAGACAGACAGACATTTGGAAGAAAAAATGGGGTAGGGAGGAATTAATTATTAAGTAAAATTTAAAGAAAAATCAAGCAAAATAAAAATGGGACATATTCAGATTTTTGTATCACCTCCCTCCCATGTTCTCAGTTTACTCCAGTGCAGTACAGTGACTAAGGAAACATTATCTAACCAGGGAAGAATACAGTAAAGGCTACACAAACATAGCTCTAACCTATGACCAAGCAGCAGGCATTACAGGGAATGACACAGGAGGTCCGACTAACAGCAACTCCCAGATGATCAGGTCTAGGTTTTGCCCAAGAACAAAGCACTGGGTGGCGTGATTTAAGAGCAATGACCATGGGAAATCTCCATTCTGTGGCTAAGCAGGATATAGTGCAAGGAACAACCAGAACAAAATTCCCTGGGAAAAAGCTCACAACTCCTCTCGTTTCATTCTCTTCTAGTAGAAAACAGCATGGAAAATGATGCAGGTGTGGAGATGGAGCTGGCTTTTTAACACAAAGCAGTACGGTACTCTGGAACTGAGCATCCAACAAGCCAGTCTCTACTGAAGACTCTTCTCAACTTCTGGGGACAGAATAGCAGCACAACAGCATGTGTTCTCCTTGTTTGAACTCACAAACACTATGGCCCCAATCTGGAGCTCACTTACAAGGATGAAGTTACCATGAGAGCCAGATTTTTATAGGTACTTTGGCATTTAAAGATGCAACAGGAACCTACAGTATTTTCCAAAGCAACTATATCACATTAAAATCAATAGGAGTTAGGCATTTAGGTGTTTTTGAAAAAACCCATTAGGTGCCAGTCTTCATCTTTAGGTGCTCAAATGCCCCTATAAATCTGGTTCTAAATCTCGTGGAGTTTTCCTCTTCCATCAAGCCTTTACTCTCAATTACAAGAGTTTGTTCTGGGTGTAAATGCAAAACCAGGATCTAGTCTTAAAAGAGTGCATCATATTACCATCCCAGTTCCTGCGGTATTCCTCATCTTCAAAACAAAAGGGTTCTACTATCCAAATTTGGCAGCTTATTGGAGGAGGTCCAAGGGATATAAAGATATAAACCACCACCTACCTGTCTCCGTAAACTTGTGGATTGCACCGGTGCATTCTCCTCGAATTTGGCCAGTAGCTGTGTTGCCATGGATTTCACCTTGTTTTGGTTCCCGATGGCAGCATCAATTCTCCTCTCTGTCAGGGCACTCACAAGCGTAGGCCTCTCTTCCCTATAGCTTCGGGGGGCTTCCTCCTAATAACCAGTATAAACTAAAAGTGAAATGGGAAATTTTCCAAACGGGTCCTTTCCTTTAAAGAAGACTTCTGCAATTCAACAGAGCAGAACCCAAATCCATTAACCTGAACTTCCAAGCTCATGTTCTTTCTTCTAGTCAGTCTTTCTGTTCACCAAATTCCCTCTCCATCTACCTGCACCCTCTTGCTTCATATTTTATTGCTACACTATTGCACTGAAGAGACCCACGGCTGAGAAGCTCACGTGAGCATAAGACAATGCAAACTGCTTCAAGCACTCTGTGAGAACCCAAAGTAGCAGCCCTCAGCTCAGCAGTTCCTATCTAGAGACACACACTCTTAACCACAGGCGTGCCAAGTGTGACATACTGAATGTGCCCCATACACTGACTCTGCAGCTAGCTTCATACCCATGCAAATCTAGGTTCTACCTTTTACCTGGGTTGAACTTCTGATAAGCCCATACCAGCTTAGCATCTGACACGGCTACTCCTCAGCACCCTACCAAAATCATTAGTGTGTGTTTCAAGAAAGCAGGATGAAAGGGTTTTCAGACATAATAAATCGCACATTGCGAATTTAAAGTATCTGATGTTGCTGGCTCTGGACATGGCACAAAACATAAGCAGGAATCTGATTGCAACCTAAAAAAATCTTGCATAAGGTACCATGCGACTGGAATATCTGGGGAAAAGGGAAACATTCAGGGAGAAGAGCATGAAGAAAGGAACCTCCTAAAATACAAAGGCTTGGGAATGAAAATAGGGAATCTATCACATGCTCTTTCCCAAGGCATTTTTTTCTATTATAATACTTACATCCTCTGACTGGCTGGTCTTTCTCCTCTTTCCTGCACCATCCAGTTCCTTCTCCTTTTTATCCTACAACAGGAAGAAAAGTGCTGAAGATATGGTGTGTTTTTTTTAAAACTCTCTGGCTCATAGTGAATGCCATTAGCACATTATACAAGTGTTTGAATTATTGTTGGCTGAGTCTCTATGCTCATTTCCCATCTGTAGGAAAGGTGGTTCCCTTAGTCTTTGGTCCTCATTTGGGAAACCAAGCCTTCTTATCTGAAATACAGCTTGTCATTCTTGGAGCTTTTCAATGAGTCAACAGGAGAAACAGTAGGTATTTCTCAGTGCAGAAAATACTCTGGACCTAAGCCCACAGCACAGAATAACCTCTCTCCTATCACTAGAAAGATTATACTTCCCAGTTTTCATCCCTTTCCCCAACCCAAAGTAATGCTGAAATGTTAAGAATGCAGCATTTCCTATATGAGATGTACAATGCCAAGCCTGTAACCACTTCATACCCCTTCCTCCCCACACACATGCACTTCTTAGCACATATTTGGCTGTCAGCCTGGCAAATTATAGTGTTCTTGGGGTTAAAGTATACATTGCAGGTTATAACTACCTTTGGAGTTCGTTTCCGGGAGATACTCTGCCCCAGTTTGCTAAGAAAAGAGATGGGAGATTTGGTACTGGCAATTAGAGCAGCTCTCTCTTCTGCATTCAGATCCAAGGTCTCTGAGAATAGAAACAGGTGTGACCAGTGAATGCACAGCAAACTCTTTGTAGTTATTAACAATAGCCAAGAAACGATCAGGAAGGGACTCACTCATTCTTTAGCAGGAACTGGGGTTTTTTTTACACTCTCCATATTAAAATGCTTTTAAAAATTTGAAAATCAATATCTCTCTGAATAGTTTTGCCCTTTTCCCTTTGGCAAATGCATCTTTTTTCCCTCTTAGGTTTTCTAAGCACTCTAGATAGTTTTAGAGTTTAAAGTAGGTCAAATTCAAATTTAAGGTACATGACTGCATCTTTCCATTCTTGTTAACAAAAAACAATCTTCCAGGCCTTCATTCCACTAACCTGAAGTTATAGATACAATCCAAGCGTTATAGCTATAAATATAAAGCTCTGTCAGAGCTTTTAAAGCTCTAGCCAGCAGCCATTTAGTAGTTAACTTTAAAAGCGCCGACAGAGCTTTATATTTATAGTTATAACGCTCAGAGCCAGGAAGGTTTCAACTTGAGTGGCTAGCCTGAGCCACTACCTGTGCCACAACATCCACATTGCTATTTTAAGCATGCTAATCAAGTGGAGATTGTATGAATTTGTCTATTCAGGCTGGCAGGCTCTCCCCCAGCTACAGTGCAGACAAACTCAGAGTAACTAAGTGTGAGTTCTTGTAGGAGGAAAGTAGACAAGAAGTTACTCACCTCATGCAGTAAATGAGTGGCTTTTTGAGATGCATATCTCTATGACTGGCTCCACTTGAAATAAGAATGTGCACCATGCACTTTTGATGGGAAATTTTTGGCAGCAGTGCTTGTTTGGTTCAAGCATGTGCCTCAGTTATCCTCATACTCCATACAAAGGATATATAGGGTTACGGTGGATAAACCACTCAATTCCTTCTCTGCCACTCAGTCCCAGGAAGACAAGACTCCAAAGCAAAGGGGAAAGAGGACGGGTAGTGTAACCCCTACAGCAGGGTTTCCCAAATATGGGTCGCCATTACATTTCAAAAGGGTCGCCAGGTGTCTCCCCAGGTGGCTCTTAAGGAGCCATTCACACATTTTTTTGAATTGCCCTGGGTAACCAGAATGTATGTCTATACCAAATCCACAATGCTGCAGAAAATCTTCAATTGCAGGCACATGCACACTTGAAATGGACACCCTGGTAGGGGCATAATGCACAGAAGAATATGAATACTGCTACCATCCCACAATCTAACACATTTGTTCTGAGTCCCTTACCACTGGAAGGGATGGAATCCTTGAACATCTCATAGAACTGTGTGAGGTACATCACCATGGACAACTTGTCTGGCTCTCCAACAGATGCCATTTCCTTGCCGGTCATGATAGGAGAGATTCCAAGCTCCTTTTCAGCAATGTCAAATGCCAGCTGGTTGTTCTTCTCCACATTGCGTTCATCCAGAGAATCAAAATCTCTACAAGGGGGAGAAAAGCATTAAGTAGTAGTCTTCTAAAAATACTTTCAGAGTCAGTCTTTTCCTGCAGCAACTCAAATTGCCGAGTGCCCCCATTTTTTCAATAATCCTGCCATCATACTTTTGGTGTCACAGCGATGTTACTTGGCCCGTTAACAAAGAAATGTGAAGGAAACACATTGGGGAAAACTCACTCACTCACTGCCCTGCTTCGTTGTCTCTGGAGACAACCTACATTTCTTTTTAGAGAGGTTTTTGGGGGATTTTTTTGCTTTGAATATTGCATCTTCACTTCCCTCTTTGCTATACTTGAAAGCATATCAAATCCTCCCTCACGTCATTGTTTCTCTTTACTTGATCCATAGATATATCTCACATCTTTTCCTCTCCAATGCTATTTTCCATTACCGTACATCCACTTCTTTCCAATATGTATGGCATTTTAAACATGGTGCCTCAAACTGAATGTAGAACTTCCAATGGAGTTCTAATCAGCGACACACAGAATGGAGTATTTACGTAGGTACTTTGATCGCTTTACAAGTGATACTGCTTTTATACACACTTTCAATATTTAGTATTGCAGTATTTATCTTTGAAAATGTTGTTTTCGGAACTTGAAATCATTTTAGACTTTCATTATAATACCACTACTTACTTCTTAAATAGCACTTGTGAACAAATAGGCCGGTGTCATTACTCCCTATTTACAGATAGAGAAACTGAGGTACAGAGAAAGGAAATGACTTACCTAAGGTCTCTGAACAGTCCAGTATCAGAGCTGAGAGTAGAACCTAGGTCTCCAAACTCCAGCCCAGCACCTCATTCAGTATGTGCCAGAGTCTACACTAAGGAGCCCTACCTTGACAATGTTTTCCCATTCCCATGTGCACTTTTTTATATAGCGTCTTGCACTTATTCACAGAACAGGTTACTGCACAAGCAGTAATGTGAACTTCCCCTACTCTGTGTCTATTCAGACCAGGAAAAAGTATTTAAAAGCCATCTGAAGAAGTTACCAACAACAGGCGTATTTATAAAGCTGATGTGGATGTTTGTCACCTACAACTTAAATTGAAGCCACCAATTTCATGAAGGCCACTAAACAGCTGTTAGATGGTCACGAGTTTTGGTCACCAACTACTTGGGACAGATTTGATCAAGTGAACTAGAAGATAAAACGATGGTACATGTAACCTGGTACTCACCAAGCTATTACAAATCCC